GGAGCTCTGCCTCAGGCTGCCGCCGGCACGGCCGCCTCTGCCCCCGGCCCTCCTCGGTGGGGCCGGCTCCCATAGTCCCCTTCAACGGGGCAAGTTATTGCTCTGTAGGGCAGTGGATGCTGTGAGGGTATTAACTGACAGCAGGGTGACAGAGCCGTGCTGGGAAAGCAGGGTGGTCCCCACCCCCCCCGCCCCCCCGGGCTGCTCCCCGCAGGACTGGCCTTACTGATCGCACCCTGGCCGTCCCCGACTGCAGGCTCCTTGGGGATCGCTGTCCCCCGGCGTCGCTCTCCTGCTTCCAGACCCCGCGGCGCATCCCGTACGCGGAGGCCGTCGAGCAGGAATTCAGACCGGCTAAAGTGGGAGACTCCTTCGGGCCCACGTGAGTACCAGGTTTCGGTGGGGCCATGAGCGCGGTGGGGCTGGAGCTCCCGTCTTCGGCGTTACTTGTGTGCCTGAGTCAGGTGATAATCCTCCTCCCTGTTGCGTGCTTTAAGTAGAAGGTGTCTGCCCAGAAGCCCTTAGGGAGATTTTATGAGGAAACAGACCGAGATGTGTCTGTTTCCAAGGAGCGTGAAGAGCCCGGTTCGTCGGTCCTTTCTGCTGAGAGCTCATGCTCATAGGCATGGTTGTGGCCCTGGTGCTTGTTTCTGCGTGGGATCTGTGTGCTTCGTCAGGGCTGGGAGAAGACTGGGGTTTTTTTCCTGTCAGTGAGCAAAGGCACAATGCTACCGTCTGTTTTTCTGGGGTCCCCGAAGAGGCTGGGTTGGGGCCAGCACCACAGGGTTTGCGTGCCACCTTCTGAGCTTCCTCGCCCGCTGGGGCTGCCGTGCGTCCTCGCAGCCTGGGCACGAGCCTGCCCTGGGGGTTAAAGGCCATGACAAGAAGGGTCACAGGTCCGGACATATTGATAAACTGCCCTGCCCCAGGCGTAATTCAAGTCCTAGTACCATCTGATTTCACTGTCTTCTGGATCGCTGTGGGAGTTGGAGGAACAGTTTTCTAGTCCCTGTCAGCTCGACAGAGCGCGTCACCCCACTCAGCTTGGCTTTTAACTTGCTGTCAGATCTCTAACCCTCAACAACAGCTGACAACAGTGGGTGCCACAAGTTAGAAGTTTCACTTGGTGAAAGAGCAACCGGTCAGGTCAGCAGCTCACAGGGAAGGGAAAGCCCAGTGCGTTTAAATGGCACAGAACAAGGCTGGCATGTGCAGGCACTGTGTGCTGCTTAAACTGACGATGTGTCATAGCCAGCCGGACAGGGAGCCACCTCCAGACTATGCTGTGTCTGGGGGCGTAGGCTAGAGCAGGTCTGTACGGACAGGTAGCATTGTTACATTCAAATCACATTGAACTTGTGTGCTGTCCCCACTCTGCTTTTTCCAGGGCAGCTCTGAGGAAGTGTGGTTTCCCTTGGGAGAAGGTCTCGGGGTGGGCTGAGGTTGCTGCCTGCTCTCTTCCAGGTGGGAGACATGCTGGTTTAAGGTGGAGCTGAGCATCCCCCCAACATGGGCAGGGCGGGAAGTGCACTTCATCTGGGAGAGCGATGGG